TATTTCATTGGCTCAGCGCTACAGCCTCTTTTCTCTCATGATGTTGAACAGCTGGGATGCTGTAAAAGCTTACACCTTTTTGTTTTTTGTTACTGTTGTTAGTACAACCAGTTTTCGATTACATCATTAAGAACGAACTGCTGCCATTTTGGAAGGCAAGCTGTTACCCTAACTGTGTCAAAATTGCTGCAGCTTCAACCCTGCAGGTGGAGGAAGACCAAGCAAAACAGACCAAAGCTAATAAAAATGGCTACCAAAACTGCCAAAGCTGCTAAATAATAAACACAATTAAGCTGGAGTTGGTGTCTCAATCGCCAGCAGCAGTTACATTCAGTCACCTTATATGTAAAATTAATTTCGAAATGGAGCTGATAAATAAGAAGTCAACATCATGTCAAAGAAATAAAATAACAACAAAATAAAATAAGTCTTCACAAAAAATATATTTTTTAAAGGTAAAGTATATGATTTCAATCCAATACACTTTTTGTCAAATTTAGCAATCTGATCTGTTCTCTGTGCGCTTTGGAAAAAAATCTGGTGTTCATACAAAGCCCTAATGGGGAATGGGAAATAAACAAAGTGGTTCAAGACAAGAATCAGGCAAGGGCACATCACCGGTGGAGAGACCTCCAAAAGTTGAAGAGGCTGAAGTTGCCTTCTTATTCACATTTTCCATACATACATACATACATCATCTAAACCACTTATCCTTCTGGGTCGTGGTGGGGTGCTGGAGCCTATCCCAGCTGTCATTGGGCGGAAGGCAGGATACACCCTGGACAGGTCGCCAGTCCATCACAGGGCAGACAGACAGACATACACATTCACACCTAGGGGCAATTTAGTGTGTCCAATCAGCTTGACTGCATGTTTTTGGACTGTGGGAGGAAACCGGAGTACCCAGAGGAAACCCACGCAGACATGGGGAGAACATGCAAATTCCACACAGAAATGACCCTGGTCACCCGGCCAGGAATCGAACCCAGGCCCTTCTTGCTGTGAGGCAACAGGGCTACCCACTGCGCCACCGTGCTGCCCTCACATTTTCCAGTTCCACCTTAAATCATGCAGCAGTTCCATTCTGTCACCTGAATGTTACTGCTGCACAATTTAAGGTGGAATGGGAAAAATAAGCTTCAGCCAGAGGTGATCGGCATGAAAAGGGATGAAGAGGTTGTCCTGTTTCTGCTTCACAGGTGAGTAACATTAACTGATTTTTGCTGTTTCGCAAAACCAATAGGTCAGTACTGTTTTTCCCATTTGCTAATGTTTGTGGTAGCAACTGGTTAGCCTCGCACCAGCAACTGTAGTGACAGTTTGCTACACACTACCCAGCTAACATTGTTACATTACTTCCTGTGACTCTAATGTGTCTGTATAACGTTTGCAAAGGCTTTAGTGCTAAGTTTACTAGCACAGCGTCGTTCACCATGGCAATGTGTGGCAATACTCTGCCTTAAATATGCTTGAAATATGAGATTTAAACTGAATATTTAAAAAAAAAAGAAACGCGTTTTACTTTGCTGGATCGGTTATGGCTTTGATGTCTCAAAACAAACTGCCACTGTGCTTCAAGAATATGAACATAAATATTTTATATGTCAGAATGCTTTATGAAGTAACAGTGTACAAACATGCCACTGTCATCACAGTGTTGACCAGTGGTATGTCAACAATATGCCAGTGGCGACAACCGCGAAGTCAATCTAACAATATTTATATGTTATAGCAATGTAATTATGTACCTACACAATAAATTACATACACTAAAAAAAAATCTGTAAACAATGGTGAAAAGTCCAGCAGCAAGGGTGCCAGACAAAATCCATTAACAGTAAAAGTGTGTTTTCTCAACGTAATTCAACAATTTTACTAGTTCAACTAGTTATTCTGACCGTATTGTACCGTAAAAATAACAGTAACAACTGTTGAAATAAATGCAAACGCCTGTGAAATAAAGGTGATCATTTGTTTTCGTGAATTTACATTCTGACTCTGTAAATTATCAACAGTATAAATAAAGAGTATATGCATGGTTTATTTACATGTATTTAACCTTTTTCTTTTCAAAACACAGATACTGACCATTACATTTTACAGTACTTTGTGAATAGCGCAGTGAAAATACTTAAATCATATTAAAATATCTCCCACTCACAAACACATATGTGACAAAGACTGAAAGTTCAGGATCTGCACTTTTCACACAACTTCTCCACTTCTTTCAGTGAGCTATGAGTGAGAAATAATTCATATAAATTTACAGCATGCTTTTGTTATTACTGCCAATAATCATGATTTCGATGGGCAAAAACAATCTGTACTATCATAAAAACATAATAACAACTACTGGTCTTAAAACATCATAAAACATTTTCAAATTGCAAAAATGTAGATTGAGTGCCACAGACCCTCTTCTGTCACATAACAGCTGTGAAAGGATGAACTTTTCAGGTCGACTTTCTGTGTCTGTGTCCCGACTATCTGTAAATAATTAGTTTGAGGCTGCATCTAATGAATAAATTCGGCAGAGTCACACAGAGCCGTGGGACATGTTACCAAAGCCTGCTTTCACCCCAGAAAAGAAGAGGAGAGATAGAGAGAGTGAGAAAAAGAGAGAAGTCAGACAGACGGACGTAGAGAGAGACAAGAGCCAGCACCCCCCGGGGCAATCTTACTCATATTAGCTTCAACAGCTTCATTACAGATAAGCACATCTGAGGGAAACAGAGCAAAACAGAAAGCAGAGACAAGAAGAGAAAGATGACTGAAGAGGGGGGCTGGATTACTGTAGAGAGAAATGAGAGGAGACTGACAGGTCACTAGAGATGAACAAAAGAATTCTGAGGGATGGCAGAAGGTACATAATCATGAATGCCAACTTGGGTTAAATACTGGGGGGGAATAGAAATTATGTCCCAATCTGATGACAAACGTTTCACACTGAAGGAAGAGCAGGAATCATGGGTGAATATATATATATTATATATATATATTATATATATATATACACATTATGTGTAATAATATGTAATAATTTATTTCATTTTCGTTATCATACACGTTTGTGATAAAGTAGATAATGTGAATTTGCACTGCTGTTATCTCGTAATATAACGAGCAGATCACATACTAGGAAAATGGTCTGTGATCTGCTCATAATGTTAAATTATGTCATTATTAAGTGAAAATAATTTTAATTTAAACACTACATCTTTGTGGCATGAGTGACATGGAATGTCTTGTTTTAAGTTTTGATGTTAACAGGTTAGAGCCGCAAGCAGCCATGCAGCAAAACATAGTGAAATAATGCCAATAAAATGAAAAAGAAACAGAAAACCCAACAAAACTTTAAAAAAAGCAAATTCTCTCATACATGTTATCAAACAAAATGCCCCCTAAACAGTCTGTCCTGTAAAAAGATTTTCTGGTTGGTCCACTGGATTGAAACTATCGCCCAATCAGAAGTCAGAATGCTGTTGAGGATAAACAAATGTACTGTGCTCCTTTAACAATTATATTTTTATCGAGTAAAATGGCTCATTTGACTATTTATCTGTTTGATAAAAGGAAAGTCTGTAGATCTTTCTTGCTGCTCTGTTCAGCAGTGCAAATCCTGCACGTGTGAAAGTCTTGTGCACGCGAGCTGTATCAGTCACGTGGCCGCATCTCCTGCACCCCGCAGAGTGAAACAGAACGGACAGTGGAAAGTTTACAAAAAACCCACCAGAAGCTGAAACTGAGCCAAAATGTAAATGTCTGAAACAGGGTTTAACAAAAACATATTTATTAAAATAATCTATTACCTCATATTACTTGTGAATGCTCTTACCGTCCTCGTAAAATCAGTAATTTTACTAGTAGTTGTCAGTGTGCCTTATAGAGATCTCTTTTTTGTGATATTACATGCATGTTTGTCCTCCTTCAGATAAATAATGGTCGGCTTCACCGCCAAACAAGCCGCGCTCCTCTGCAGCCTCTCACTGCTACATGTGTCCTTGGGTTGCCAGCTATTCAACACTAGGATTAATATACAATATACAAAAGATGAATTGATTTCAACCACGACTATATAAAATCCTCCTGCCTCTCACTTTCAAACCAGTCGGATCTGTTGGGAAAATCGTGAATCTGAACCTGTGTGACAGGTAAAGAAACCCTGAGTGAAACACATGCAAAACAGCGCTTTACTGGTTGCCATAGTGACCCAGTATGCTTAAAATCACTACTTTTAAATGCAGTTTCACTGTAGTGGCTGTTTTCAGACTGTTCTGTACAGTTTCACTACAACAGCTTTTCTTGAGCACTAGGATTGCGAGGGCAGGGGCCGCTTCTTTAGTTTTGGGGGGGTTGGGGGGTTGGGGCAGTGCACCAATGCCCCTTCGCAGTTGTCGCCTATGTCCAAGATAACAGCTATGAGGGTTGAGAATATCATTACACACATGAGAGTTCAACAAACTCCAACAAACAAATCATTCCCCACCAGTACCATCATTCTCCACCGATCGCTCTCCATCAAAAGCCATCATTCTCCAACAAACATCATAACTCTCCAACACAATCCACTATTCTCCACCAAATATTATTTCCATCAAGCACCTTCATTCTCCACCAAACACCATCATTCTCCACCAAACACCATCTTTTTCCAACAATAATCAAATTTCTCCATTAAACACCATCATTCTCCAAACAAATACCATCTTTCTCCAACAAACACTCCCCAATAAATAGCATCATTCATCAAACAATACCATCATTCTGTAATAAACACCAACATCCATGACGATCAAGAATCTACTACATACAAACTACTGCATACTATTATTCAACATATTGTTCTTTATACTTGGTCGGCCACTTCATAAGAACATGCATTAAAATGGGTTATTTCCAAATTTAATCCATTGATTAATTTAATCTATTTCTAGTCTAAGATTATGCTTCAAGTGTGTCCACAATGGTTCAGGAAGCCAACAGAAAGTGATGTCACTCACCCTCATCCTCCCGTTTCGGATGGCTGGGCCATCTTCGGCCAATCGGAGCACAAACAGGTCCATCTTATACTCCCGCCCTCCTCGGATACTGAAACCAAAGCCCTTAACACTTTTCTCCAACTCCACTGTGAAGAAATCAAAATCCTGCAGGAAACACACACACACACACACACACACACACACACACACACATATCTTAACACTGACTGAAATTACACTCAGTAAATGGTCATTTACAATCCAGAATATGAACAATGCATCACAAATTTGGTCTTAATGTCTTATCTGAGTCATACAGATCTGTATCATTTATGATAGTCCAAATAAATGAGATGGTTTGGCAAGAATCAAAGTGACCCCCTACCTCAAACGTAGTTGAGAGGTGTTTTCATTTTAAAGTTTGCTTCTTTACTTTTGCTCTGGTGCTACAAGACTAATGGAGCTAACTAGTAATAGAACCTCACCAATTAGCACAGCGCTAACCACATGCCTCAGTCACCACACTGGGCCCAACAGGCATATAAGCAAGCCTGACTGAGATTATTTAAACTGACACAGTGTGTTGCTTTTGGCGAACACCTAGATTCTGACTAGCCACAATAGCCTCACGGCTCCAGTGTAAATCTAAAGAAGCAAACCGCAGACACCGAACATGTTGGCTGATCGATTGGGGTAAAGAACAAAATTGTGTAAAACAGGTTTTTGACCAAACGTTTGCTTTAAACCCCAGCAGCAGTAAGAAACTCAGTAGAATCAGTGTGTATCTCAGCAGTACCTGTGGCTGTCTGTAGTCCGGTATGGGGAAGCTGCGGGGGTCTGTGGGCAGCTGTCTGTACTCCAGCAGCGGAGGATGTCTGTAGTCTGCTACAGGAGGGTGCCGGTAATCCACTGGGGGCTGGCGGTAATCAGTAAAAGGCGGCTGCCTAATGTCTGGCTTCACATCCTGCCGAGCTTTCACCTCCGACCTGTAGCTGTATAGACAAATTCAAATTCAAGCACAGAACCACTGAGTTGCCATGTGAGATGACATATGATATTACTGCTATTACATTTACATTTCTATTTAATGTGTTATGTGTATACAAACAGTAAGGAGTTTCTTATATTAATAACTAATAACAGACCAATATTCTATCTTTCTTGCATTTTAGTTTTTCCCCTAAAGCCCACTATTACCATTTGTGTGGTTTGATGTACTGAAAACAATCATAATTCAATGCATGGTCATAACATAACCATTTTCCAAGCTCGGTTTATCCCTTAAGTAGGTTTTCCATCCACCTTTTTGTGGATTTTGATAATGTGCTCCCAGAATTGTGTGGTACTCTTGCATTCCCAGATGTAAGGTGGATGTCGTCGGGGTGGTATGGAGATTTCAGCCCTCATTAGGTGGGCCGTTGCTTGTCTTGCCTGGCGTCTCTGAGCTATAAACAACATGGCCTTAAAAAGATGGCAAATGGCTCATAAGACAATTCTACAATTCTGAGTTAAATCTCTCTGTCTAGCTTGATTTGATGCAGCCCCTAATCATGGTAGCCTACTTCATCTACACTTGCTTCGCATAACTGTAGTGGATGGAAACACAACTTAATTAGTTTTTTTTGTGCCGAAATTTCAGAAAATGCACATCTCATTTGCAAAATATTTAAATGGAAACTCAGCTTTAGACTTAAACATGCTGTTTTTGCTATTGTGCATTTAAGACAGATGTAAATGACCTCTGTTCCTCTTTTTCAAAAAGAAGTCTAGTGTAAAACACATAAATAACTTCAACGTGAACCGAAATTTCGTAAATGTGCATATAATTTGCAGAACGTTTAAATGGAAACTGCTCTAGACTGAATGTAGTCATATTTAACTGTGTTAATGGTTCTGACATCACAAACATGAATTTAAAATGGGCTGTATTTGCAAGTTAGTTTTCATACATGAACTGTGTTGAGTGAGGAGTACATGATATGTTTTGAAATGTTAACAATATTTACATACTACATCAAATCATTTATCACAAATAAAGAGAAGAAAATTTGGTTTTTGATAAGGGGAGAGCGAACATGATGCAATGCGAGATAGCGTGGAGATTTTATGTAGTACAAGTAAAACATGCTTTTGGTCATCTTCTTGTATTTCCATAACTACGTCATTTTCACAGCGTTTGGACAGATATTTCTCCAGTTTTTTGTATAAAATAAATTTTGTTTTTCAATTACAAAATTCTGTATTTGTCACACTTTTGTTATTTAGCAAATAAACAACTCAAAGTGAGAGCTATCCATGCTAAAGTACAGCCTCCATATGCCGGAGTGATACACAGTGATACAAAAAGACCCCCAAAAATAAACAACGCATGTTCTAATTAGCTTTTTGGCCAAAAATAAATTTGCCAAATGTGACAAAGCCTCTTTTTGCTTATCAAATTTATTCTGATGCAGATGTGTTTAAGTAGGTATGGAAACCTTGTCTGGTTCAAGAAACATACAAGCATCATTTCCCAAAAGGTTGGGACAGTATGTGAAATGTTATATGTAGCCCCTCAGTCTGTTACAATTAACCCTGCTTATGAAGTACATTGGAACTTTTGCACTCTCATCACTTTCCACTGAAGTTTTCATGTATATTTCTGCATAAAATATGAGTAATCTTGTTCACGTTTAATATTGTTTAAAAAAAAATAAAAGGTAATCCCCTCCTCTCCCCTACATGACCTCTTTAATAAACAAAGAACAACAGAAAACCACAACTGCTCCCAAAGAAATGTCTAATTTATGCCAGCTAGCAGCAGACACCTCTGCTGAGTGGAGTACTAAGTGGACCCTTGTAGACTCCAGACCCTGCAGAGAGTCAGCATGTGTGTGTGTATCTGTTTTCCTTTCTTTCTCTGAGGACAAAGACAGGACTATGACACTAATGAGTGGAGCCATGTTTGCATGACTGTAAAAGTTTAATTCAGAGGAATGACGCGCTGAGAAAAGCTAAGAGAAAAGTGGAGGAGTGAGAGGAACCAGAGAGAGGCACGAGGAAAATCTGCACTCCCCGCAGGCCTGGATGAATGATTCAAACGTCTTTTATAGAGCCATGCAGGTAAATTATTTAACTCCGGAGGAGATAAGTGATGTTATATAACAAGGACAGAGACAGTATGTGTGTGTGCAACAGAGAGAGAGGGAATAAATTAAGAGTAGTATGGGGAGATGCAAATTAGAGCAATGAAAAGTCATTACTATGAGGTTAAGGAGTTAAATGTATTGACTGAAGTAGTACACACTTCATAAGTCACTGGCTTTTTCTACAAATCCAGTTCCAAAAAAAGCTGGGATAATAGGAAAAATGTTACTAAAAACAAAGACAGCAATAATTTGCAATTTGTTTCTGACTTGTATTCAGTTGAAAACAAAACAAGGTGCTCAATTTGCTTGAAACACAGGCATGTTTACATCAGCTTTCCTTTTAAAAACATTCAGTAATCACACAACAAACAAGCAGGAACGTTCCTGAAAAAGACATCATCTAGATGGTAGCATACATCGATCAGGCATAACATTCTGACCACCTCCTTGTTTCTACGCTCATTGTCCATTTTATCAGCTCCACTTACTATATAGGTGCACTTTGTAGTTCTACAGTTACAGACTGTAGTCCATCTGTTTCTCTGCATACTTTGTTAGCCCCCTTTTACCCTGTTCTTCAGTGGTCAGAACCCCCATGGAACCTCACAGAGCAGGTACTATTTGGGTGGTGGATCATTCTCAGCACTGCAGTAACACTGACGTGGTGGTGGTGTGTTAGTGTTGCGCTGGTCTGAGTGGATCAGACACAGCAGTGCTGCTGGAGTTTTTAAACACCTCAGTGTCACTGCTGCACTGTCCACAACTAGAATAGTCCACCAACCAAAAATATCCAGTCAACAGTTTCCTGTGGGCAGCGTCCTGTGACCACTGATGAAGGACTAGAGGATGAGCAACACAAACTGTGCAGCAGCAGATGAGCTATCGTCTCTGACTTTACATCTACAAGGTGGACCGACAAGGTAGGAGTGTCTAATAGAGTGGACAGTGAGTGGACACACTGTTTAAAAACTCCAGCTTCACTGCTGTGTCTGATCCCCTCATACCAGCACAACACTTTCAAACTCTGAGTTGGTAACAGTCCAGATGGTCATTTTCCTTTTTGGCACAAAGAAAACGACGTCCATTGTCGTTTTGTATTGTATTGTGTAGCAGAGTCTTAACTTTTGTACATTTGTGGATGTAGTGTCAAACTGTGCTTACGGACAAGAGTTTTCCAAAGTATTGCCGAGCCTATGTGATTATGTTCATTACAGAAGAGAGGAAATAAACTGGAACAGCAGATAACTCTAATTTCATGGCACTTGTAAATATTGCAAGATGTGCTAAGAAGACCCCCTCGTGAATCTTGCATCAATTTGTAATCTAAGTTTCAAAGAATGTATAATTTATATGTAAAATTATTTCTAGTGTTTTCTTCTTTCAAAAAAATTAAAAAGTGCAAAACAAAAATATAATATTTTAAAATGTAACTGAGGCCTTCTTCAATTTATGTCTTAATGACTCCAATTTATTGTAATAAGCTCTGACAAAAGACAAATTACAGTAAAATAGAAACTAAATATAATTTGTTAAATAATCATTAGCTGATCATTGTAGCGACAGTGACATAATAATAATAATAATAATAATAATAATTTTGTCCCATGTCTGGGGGGAACATCTTACCCTAAAGGTCTCACTTTACATTTTCACAACAAAAGATTTTTTTTCCCTTTCAAAACCAAGTATACTGCTCTCTCCATCATATAATCATATATTTTCACCAATTTTTCTAGTGCACCTTATGGTACATGCACAGATCACTAGATCATCCAGTGTAAAATATTAGCACCAGATTATCTGATGTAAAATAAAAATGATCAGCTGATACCAAACTTGGCTGATCAACTACTTCTGAGGTAAAGGGAAAAACTGTGTAGCTATAAACCTCCCTCCTCTCCCTTTCTCTCTCCCACTACTTACGCTCTCTCTCTCCTTTTCTCTCTCTTTTTCTTTCCTTCTCTCCCCATTCTTTCCAACTTTTTCACCCCTACTCTGCTCTTTCTCTCTCTCTCTCTCTCTCTCCCCAACAGTCTCCTGCCTCTTCCACTAGTAACCCATTCATTATCATTCAGGATTCAGTAGAGGGGTAAACGGTGTAGCTATGAGGCTACCATCGCTAACAAGTAATGAAGTTTTGTTAACATGTCAATCAGCATGGTGCTATAGTGTATGCCTAAACCACCACACACTCGCCTCAAACCGTGTCGAGCTGTTAAGTAATCTCAAGCAGACCTGCTTATGAACTTACTTATAATTCTGATTTCAAAATGAAACTGCTTCTGTTTGTAGCTATGCAATTTTTTTTTGGTCTAATTTACGTTTTGCTCAATTGTATAGTTTTAGGTATGCAGTTTGTATGATGCTAATTGGTGGGCTATCAGCTTTTATTACTTATTAGCTACCTTAGCCACGTAGCTCCAGTATGAGATTTTTTGAGGGACTGGTCATTGACTCAAAGACTACGTGTCTCACCTGCCATCGTGGGTGTAGATCTGCACGGGTGCGGCCAGAGGCTGAGTGGGCGGGGTCTGCTGGGTCACAGGGCTGGTGTGATTGGCTGGGCTGCTCTGAGCGGCAGGGCTGAGCTGTGTGCTTGTGTTGGGTGGAGGTGCTGTTGTAGTCGGTGGGACGCTGTTGGACAGGGTGGGCGGAGCTTGGCTGGACTGGGTGACCGGACTGGCCTGGGCCAGAGGACTCTGCTTTTCTGAGCTACCAGCAGAAGGAGTACTGTTCGCCTCTGGAACACACACACACACACACACACACACACACACACACAGACAGACACTGTATACAATATATGTTTTCTCATGAAAGACATTAAATGGATCCAAATATGCATGAAAAGAGTCATCAAAACTAGAGAGAAAGAAGAAAAGAGAGAGAGAGAGAGAGAGAGAGAGAGAGAGAGAGAGAGAGAAAGAGAGAGAGAGAGAGAGAGAGACAGAGAAAGAAAGAGAGATAAACAACTGAGAAGGAAAAGGCAGCGACACACAGTAAAAGAGAGGGGGAGAGAGGGAGGGAGCGAGAGAAAGAGAGAGAGAAAGAGAGAGAGAGGGAGACAGAGAATGCATGAAGCTTACATATAATAACAAAGGAAAATATATTTTGACAATATTACAATATTACAATAATGTAATAATACAATTAATACTACAGTAAAACAAAATACAGTGTCTTAACGGAAAATGCAACTATATTTTAGTATAACTATGAAATTATTGCATTGTTGGGTTCTACAAGTTACTGCTGTAAAAACACAGATTAGGATTAGACTGGGATTAGATTAGATGGTGAAGTGTGAGGTGTATGAACTCACCCTCCTGAGTGATGATGCGGAGTGTGACGCTCAGCCCCGCGTCCTTTATCAGTTTAACGATGTCTGCATGAGCCATGCTGACGATGGACTGATTATTCACCGCCAGAATACGGTCACCAACCTTCAGCTTCCCACAGCGATCTGCTGGACTGCCTTCTATAATCCGCCCGATTTTATGAGGAACAGCTGAGAGAGACAGAGAGAGAGAGAGAGAGAGAGAGAGAGAGGAGAGAGAGAGAGAGAGAGTAAAAAACTAAAAGTATTAGAATGCAAACCATAAAACATTCTGTCTTCTCATAGCTTTTCTCTCTACCTGACTCTCACTCTCTTTCCTTCATACTCACCTGTTCATTCTCTCTCTCCATCCCATCTTTTCCACTCACCCTTTCTCTCTGTCTCTCACTAAGACTTTCACTCTCACTCACACTGTCTTGGCCTCTTTCTTTCCCATTATCTGCGCATCTCCCTCTTTCACTCCCTCTCTCTTCCATCATTCGCTTTGTCTTTCTCTTCTAACTTCTCTCTCTGTCACTTTCGTCTCCACCTCTCTTCCTTTTCTTTTTCTTTTTTGCCCTTGTGTCATCTCTCTCTGTATCTCTCCCTCAGTCTTTCTCCCCCTCTCCCTTTCTCTCTCCCACTACTTACACTCTCTCCCTCCTTTTCTCTCTCTTTCCTTCTCTCTCTCCCCATTCTTTCCAACTTTTTCACCCCTGCTCTGCTCTCTCTTTCTGTCTCTCTCTCTCCCTCTCTCTCCTCTCTATTAAACTGATGCACCCACAGTCTCCTGCCTCTTCCACTAGTAACCCATTCATTATTAAAACGTAAAGCTTTAAAGCAGACCCTGAATTTTTAATAGCATTGTTCTACCTTGAAGCAATCTGCTTAAACTAGAATTGTCCCTCTGCCCCCTGTTTGGTGCTATCAGCAAAGACTGAACGGCATTAAAGGCCAGCCGAGAGCCGTAAATAATCACACTCACTGCAGCAGGGAGGGGAATTAGAGTTAGGATGTAAACAGAAGTGGCCCCCTGGCACTGATTTAGCATCAGAAAAGCACAGAAGTGTACCTTTAAAGGTACAGAGCTTAAACTTTCTGGGGTACAGTAGGTCTTTGGATTTCTCCAGCTACAACAAAATTTTATCTTGGGGTCCTGTAGTGAAGAATCTGAAGTCCAACAATAAGTGATACTCAAAAAAACAAATTTACATTATTTTCACACTTACACCAAATGTAGCTGATCAGTCAAGACATGTTTGGTGTTCGAAGTTTGCTTCTTTAGTTTTACACTGGCGCTATTAAGCTAACAAGTAATGGAAACTAATGAACACTAATTACCAAGCTGTTAGCTAATCTCAATTATAAAACGGATAGTTCTGGTCCTAAAATCTGATTGGCTGAGCCACGTTCGAAGCCGTTGTAAAATCCAGGACATACCATGGCTATGACTGCCTCACAACAACTGAACTCTGTATTACTGCGGCATATTGTATACGGCTCGAAAAACCCTTCTGCTGTTAATGGATTTATCTTTGACTCTAATGCTAATCGCACTGAGCACCGAGTGCTGAGTGTACTGATGAAGTAAGAACACGTTTTTGTTTAAACTGAGGGGCTGAAAACTTATTTTCTGAACTACATCTAGGCTGGTCAGCTAGCCAACAGGCTAACAGATAGCAAACATGCTAAATAACTCCAACATTAATATCACAGGCTTGAATTAAAGTAGTCATGATATGATTCACTGAAAGATGCAATATAAAAGTCTAAAAATGTCACCTGAATGGATTATACGCTTCAAATGTCTGTGTTTCAGTCAGAAGTAACATCAAACCCAGGCTGTATCCCAAACGGCTCCATACTCCCTAGCTAAATAATGTGCTGTGTAACATTAAGTTTAGAGATTCTAGCTTCTGCTGTCAAAAAGGTGCACTGCTTGTTGAGTATGAATGTATATGAATCCCAAATGACAATTTTTAGCAGTTTTACATTTTTACATTGTTGGTTGCTGCTGGAGCCAGTATTTAAATTCCTATATAGCTAGTGCACTATGTAGGGAGCAGGGAGCCATTTGAGATTCAGCCTCAGTGTGAGAAAAATGGCGTTGTCAGACTGGCAGAAGAAGACTCGCGGTGGTAATTTGGTGACCAAAAAGTACTTCTAAACTGAAAGTTTTTTGCATTAAACAGTGCTATGTTACATATATTCACTGTTATAACGCTTCGCGTCGTGCCAAAGAAAACTCTTCCCCATGATAAAATCGCAGTAACCCACAGCCTCTCGTGGCTTATTGCTTTAATAGACTTGCTTATGTGGTTTTCTGACACTGTATGACACACTGTTATCTATAAACATGGACAAAAGTACATTGCATAGCTAAAAAAACAGGAGTAGCAGCTGACGCTAATTGGTCGGGTATATACTTCTGTTACTTGTTAGCTAAATTAGCCAACCAGTCTACATTAGCCAAACAGTCTTGGTTGAGCAACCACATTCGAAGTACAGGAGGAAAACAAGGAGATGTACCCTGAAGGCCTTTACATACTAAGCGTGAATGATTTGTATTCAGACATTATTCATTTGAAAATATGCATAACTGCCAATGTTTTGCAGATCATTTTTCAGATGGTGAAAATGCAACAGCATTTTATTCGGGCCTCTGTTTCTCTTGCAGACTTTCACAGGTGGCATGAACTCACTTGAGCAATCGCTGTTGTCTCTGGCATTTCCATAGCAACAACTAAGAGGGCCGATCAGTTGTGTCCCAGCAAGCACAACTTTTTGACGAATGTCAGAAGCATTAGTTTGTTCTCTGCTTTGTTACGTGAGGAGCTGTAGCTCCTTAAAATATATTTTGCATTTTTGCGCAATTTCTACACATAAGATCTGCCCAGACTGACCAGCATTGGCCGCTGTTTCCGGCCTGTTCAGCGAGCTGATGATGACAAATCCGAAACCTTCGCTCTCCTTGCGCTGGATGATGACATCACTGGCCTGCAGGTTCTGACTGGCTGCCGTCTCGGTGGGGGCAGAGTTGTTGGAGAACGTTCCTGAATTGAAGTCGCTCCTGGGCGAGCTGTGTTGGGTGGAGATGGAGCCGGGACTGCGGCCGTTCTGAGGACACTGCTCACCTGAGGAGGGGAGATAGGGACGTATAAAGAGCCAGGCATGCAGAGAGCTTAATAGGAAAAGTTGGGTAAAGGATTCTCACAATTTTCATTTCACTGGAATTCTCCACAACTGACTTCACATCTCAGACTTCCAGGGTGAATAAACTTCATGAGCAAAACTTTGGTGAATTTTGACATGCATATTTGCGTCCTCTACTAATTGCGCTACTGCATTGGCTGTGCTGACCTCTGAAACACTGGCCCATCACAGCACTGGACCTCCAAACCAGAGGACACCTACAAACCTTTTACCACTTCTTGTGCAGTTAGCTTTTGTGCTTTTACTGTTTATGGTAAGGTGAGGTAGCTAGCTTGCAAACTGCAATGTTAGCTCCATGGCTAACTGTAGCTGCACACAAGTTACTCCCTGGTGCCAACCACACTAGTTATCTACAATATCACTGTGTAGCACTATACTGTGGCAAGTATATAGTTATCATATATAGAGCTATAAAATTATGTTCACTTCTGTGTTTTCCATTACATTGAGTCAAAGAACATTGGCTGCCACTGTTACAGGATGGTGATCCATATACATATGCACAGTTTGGAAAAATAAACTGGAACAGCAGTTTTGTTCTTACAGCAGAAAAAGAAAAAAAAAACTTAAAAGCACCCCCCACCAATAACTCCCTGAAACGCAGAGATCCAGAAGAACATTCATAATAAATGAGAAAATAGGCATTTAGAAAACATGCTGGGATTAAATTTGGACCCATCATTTGATCAGGGGACAAAATAAAATGGGGAGGACATGTTACCCTGGAGAACATAATCCCTCCAAGTTACACCCAGTCAAAAGCCTGATATGCAAAATAAATGTGTGCTGAATGTAGCATGACCAAACACTGAGACAAATTTACTTCACTGTGTATAGAAATAAACATCTGACTCTGATTCTGAGACACAGAGAGAATAAAAAGGAAGGAGCACAAGAGCAGCATGTAAAACAGAGTGTGGCCAGCTCCAGCTTGTCAAAAGCTTTTCTGTCACCAAACTCTGTGGGTTAAACAGAAGCTTCCGGCAACCACCCGCTCCTCTACAGCAGCAAAGACCACAGCAACAGACCACAGATGACAAGAAAAGAAGGGATGTGTCAGACAAAGTTGAGGATCAAGGAAAGATTTTCTCTCCTCTCTCTCTCTCTCTCTTACAGACAAAAACAAATAATCTAGCAGAAAGAAAAAGCTGCCCAGTGTCTATAGAACTATTAGCATTTTATCAGTAACATTTACAAGGATAAAATAACTTTAGTAATTTGTTAAAAGGCCTATATTCTTCACTCTAATTTCTCCCCTCCATTTAAAGTTATGTGGATTTATGACCATTTTCTAACCTCTCTTTCATAGAATTAAACAAGCTGTTTTTGTTACTGCACCTCATAGTCAGTCTAGACTACAACAACTCTGCTACAGACCATCTGCAGTAACAACATGCCTTATAACATCAGCATCTATGGGTGGGGCTAAACAACTAGGCTGAATATATAGGTGGACATACAGTACAGTACAATAGTTGTCGGTGAAGAAATTGTTTTAAATTGATTGATCTTGGCAGTAAGCATGTTTTTGCAGTGAAGAACAAGTAACAAGAATGTGTTCTTGTCAATAAAGTTATTAATATGTTGGTTAGAAGAATAAAGTTGGAAGAACAAATGTCTTTACAGAATGTCTTTTGTTCTCACAGTACTGTACAGAAATGTGTTCATGGTTGTGACATCACAACCACGAATAGTCTTTTAACAATGTCTGCATAGTACAGCAAACTCTTATTTCAAAAAGGCAAACAATATAATATGTCCCTTTATTATTTACTGAGGTAAATGTATACTGTATAGATAAAAATAATGCATAGCCACAACTTAGTGAGGCATGGGAACAAGATAATTAAGTCGCTGCCACGACTTTGTAAGGCATGGGAACGAGATCTTAATGCGTGGCCACAACTTAGTAAGGCGTGAAAACAAGATTCCCACGCGTTACTAAGTCGTGGCCATGCCTTAGGATCTCATTGCCACCTTTTAATAAGGTGTGGCCACGCTTATTTTGAATTATATGGGATGTCACCAGCAGGGCTCCTTAGTAAATACAGACTCTTGCTAACTTACACTACACCACTGTCCTCTCACCTCCAGGCTGCACTCTCCTCCGTATGGTCATTTTGACCTGGCCATTGCGGGCTGCCCCATGCATTAGATCGATGACGTAACGATGGGGTTTCCCTGCCACAGGGATGCCGTCCACAGAGAGCAGCTCATCTCCGGGGCGCAATCGGCCGTCTTTATCTGCTGGACTGTTCTCTATAATCGCTCCGATCAAGATCTGCACACAGCATTTCAGTACAGTTCAAACAGACACGCACTTTAATACAATGCTGTCTGAATGCACACCTACTACATTAAAGCACACTACTGTTTAAATGGACACACATTACATTTGGCACAGCAAAAGACTGCAGAACACTTTATCACAATACAATAAAAACAGACACCCTGCTGCTTTAACTGAATATTATTAAAAAGGCCACCCACTGCTTTAATATAACATAGCTCAAACGGATCCATTCTCTTTTAACACTACTGTATAAATGGACATTAGAAAAAAATTATGGAATAATGGAAATGTTCTACTTTAACACAAGTCAGTATGAATGGACACCTATTACTTTAACATCACATCATTCTAATGCATGACATAAAGCACTTTACATACATAAGTACTGTAACTTTGCTGTGGTACAAATGGCCTTAATTCACTCGCATGCAGACCTTTGAAATGTTCTAATTACGTTTTCTTAACACACGCTCAACTTCAATATGGCAGTTTTCTGCTAATTTTAGTGCACCATTTCCTTTTATTTTCTGAGTTTGACATGTTGAAAAAAAAAGATTAAAAAAAGTTAAAAAAAAAACTATGGAAAGCAACATTTCATGTTTTATTTTTTTTACATTATGTCAAATTCAGCAAATAAACAGTAAGTGTGCATCAAAATGTGCAGAAGTGTGTGGCTGAGGATGTGTTATTTTATTTTCACCTAGATAATCAGCAAAACATGTAATTTGACCAGGGATGTTCAAACTTCAAAGGAATGGCTCGGCAAAAATTAAAAATTTCCTTCTTAAATTTAGCATTAGAAGTACGAGACAAATGTTGTTAAAAAACACTAAAAGTCAACAGTTACCCCAATCTTTTTCATAAATACATTCCCAAAACTTCTCTCAGCCTGCTCTAACTGCATCCAGGTCTTCATTAAGGTGGTGAAGACTTGTCAATGTGAGTTAGAGGACAGTATGGTGTACTGTGAGCTCTAAAATTAACCAAACTTCACCATGTAGTTGAACTCAGCAGGCAGCTATTTTAGACAGGTGTTCTGCCGAATTCTGTAGCGTCCATATGCCTGCGTGATGCGCGTGCACACAAACAGAAGGCGGAATTTGGCACAACAACTGTTGTCTAAAGTGCCTACCCACAGCAATCTGCTACATGATGAAGTTTTGTTCATTTTTATAGTTCACAGTAAGTTGTTCTGTGTCCTGGACAAGTCTGCACAACCTTAATGAAGATCTGGCTGTAGTTTGAGCAGGCTGAGAAAAGTTTTGGGGATGTACTGACAGAAAAAAATTGGGTGATTATTAACTTTTAGTGTTTGTTAGTAATATTAGCTTATAGCACCATTGTAAACAAAGAAGCAACATTTGCACACCAAACATGTGTTGGCTGATCAACCACATACGGAGTAAGGAGAAAATTGGGGAAATCTGATTTTTCGCTGAACCATTCTTTCAACTTTAATACTGTACAAATACCCATTATGTTTGCACAACATTGTTCAAATGGTCATATTTTACTTTAAGACAACCCCATCCAAACCAAGAAACACAGTTTAAACACAGTACTGTACAAATGGACACTAAGGCCTAATACTTTAAGATAATTCTGTATGAATGGACACCTATTACTCTAATACAATATCATTCACACTGATACTGTCACATTGATATAGCACTGATCAAATGCACAGGTACTGCTTTATCACAATAATCTATGTACATCCACTGTTTTAACACCATGTTCACTAGTTTAGAGTAAATTTGTTTGAATGGACACTCTCTCCTTTACACAACATAAATGGACAAATAGCCTCACAATACCTTATCATAATACTGTTTAAATGGACAGGTATTTTTTTAAATCAATAATATATGGGCACCAGCAGCTTTAACAGAGTTTTATTCTCATAGAAATGCACCATATAGTGTATAAGCAGAATGCAAGTGAACCGCACATGGAGCAGAGGACAGGAGCATTAATCAGACACTGTAGTGAAATGTACTGTATATTAGCGTCCGGGTGTCTGAGTTTGAGCTTGTTAGTTGAAGGCCACGAGCAGAAGCGAGTGTGAGAATGTGCGTATGTGTTAGTTTCAGACAGTGAGTTTCCTCATCCTTAATTAAAATTCCTTTGTATGTCTGCCAGAGCAGAACTGCTCACACTTTAATCAACACTGCAGTCCGCACTGCCGCATACACCTCACATCTGGCTAAATGTTCCTCATTCTTTTACTTTTTAGCATGACTCCGATGTGTATTGTTATTAAATCATTTTAATAATATACGCTGATGAGCCAAAATAACATGACCATCTGCCTAATATGCTGCTATGCTCAGCATGCCACCGAAACAGCTCGAATCGCAGAGGAATGGACTCTACAAGTCCTTTAACTCTTATAAGTTGCAAGGTGGATCTGCAACAGATCTCTTGTTCTAGCATATTCTACAGATGCTGAATTGAACTAAGATCTGGGGAACCTGAAGGCCAGAGCAACACCTTAAATCTTCATCATCTTCCTCAAACCATTCCTAAACAATGTGTATAGTGTGACAGGGTGCATTATCCTGCTGAAAGAGGCCACTGCCATCAGGAATATCACTGCCATGTAGGGGTGTACCTGGTATGTACAAATGTTTAGGTAGGTTGCAAGTGTCAAACTGACATTAATGTGGAGGACCATGCACCCTCCAATGGCTTGTCTTCTTCCCACAGTGCATCCTGGTTCCATCACTTCCCCAGGACAACAGCCTGTCACCAGTTCATGGTTTGTCCTTCCTCAGACCACTATCAGTAGGTACTCACCACTGCTGACTGGGAGCACCTCACAACCTGTGCCACTATGGAGATGCTCTGGCCAAGTCTGGCCATAACAATTTGACTCTTGTGAAAGTCACTCAAGTCTTCACCTCTGTTATTCATCTGTGAGTGGTCATAATGTTTTGGCTCATCAGTGTATGTACCACACTGTGCAAAAGTCAAAGATCACCTTATTTCATTTACAGAAATTAAATAAATGAAGGGTGGTCTCTGACATTTGCACAGTACTTTACTTTTTGTGAGAACTTTTTTTTTTAGTCTTCTAGTTCATTTCTTTGTCGTTGTTGTTGTTTTCTTGTCTGACGTTCAGGTTTCTCCATATGCCACATATGGTAACTAAACATACTCAACACAGGAAACTGCATGCAATGTATTGTTTTTCATATAGAATCAATGTATATTTTTGGATCAAGTAAATTCAAAGCACTGTCCATGTAAAGCACTATAAAGCAAAATTAGCTCATAGCTACTAGTTGTGGTGATACATGTTTTGTCACCAGAGATTTGTGCAAACCCAGTTCTAGTTGAGACAGTATGTGAAATGCAAACAAAACAAAAAGCAATGTTAAGCTAATTATTATCTGTATTTAATAGAAAACAGCACAACAATACCATATTTGACGTTGTACCTTTAACTTCATTGTTTTTTGTCAATATACACTCATTCCAAATACGATGTCTGCAAGAAAAGCTGAGACAGGAGTATGTTTAACACTGTGTTACATCACCTGTCCATTTAACATCACTTAATAATCATTTGTAGACACAAACTGATCCATTTTTGAAAGCAGATTTTTTGTAATTCTTTATTTATACAAGTCTTCAGCTGTGCAACTGAATGGGGCCTTTTTGACAGGAAAGCCAGTCTAGCGCCAGTTAAAACACGTGCAGAATGTGACTTTTTCATGTTGAAATATGCATGGATGTCCCTGAAAAAGTTGCTACCTAAAAGGCAGCATATGGTGCCCCAAAATGTGTATATATCTTTCAGCTTTCACAGATGTGCAAGTAACCCATGCCATGGGTACTTATACACTCTATACGATGACAGATGCTGCCTTTTGTACTTTACGCTGGTAACAATTTGGATGGTCCTGTTCTTCCTTGACGCAGAGAATTCAACATCCCTTATTTCCTTAAACAGTCTGAAAGATGGACTCGGCGGACCACAATACATGTTTCCACTGTGCATCAGTCCATTTCAAATGACCTTGAGTCCATCCAGAGTAGTTGCCAGTGTTTCTGGATGTTATTAACATATGGCTTCCATTGTGCATAGAACAGTGTTAACTTGTATTTGTGGATACAGCATCGAACAGTGTTTATTGACAAGTTTGTCAAAATATTCCCAAGCCCATGCGGTGATCTCTATCGCAGTAGCATGCTGGTTTCTAAACAGGTGGATTATTTGCTGATGCATTTTTTGTCAAAGTGGTGAGCCTCAACCCATCCTTGCTCATAAAAGACTAGGCTATTCCTGGATGCTCCTTTTATACCCAAGCATGATTGTATCACCTCTTTACAATGTTTTCTGAATATTTAACAACGTCCCTAGTCCTAAATTACCCCGTCCAACCTTTTTGGAATATCAATTTCAGAATGAGCGTACATTTACGAAAGACAATAACATTGATGAGATAGATATCCTGTCTTTATACTGCTTTTGTTTAAATACAGGTCAAAGTGGATTTACAAATCATTGCTTTCTATATTTATTTGCATTTCACATACTGTCCTGAATTTTTTGGTATTGGGTTTGCATCTGTTTTGTTGATGCTCCCTGATGACACAAACTAAATATACTAAACAAAACAGTTTTATCAGTGCTTGTGTGCGCATGTGTGTTAGTTCTAGAGTACGAGCCTTCTCTTGAGCCTCCGGACTCACAGGCTGTCCCGCCTCCTCTCCGCCCAGGATCCGGAAACCAAATCCTGATTTCTCTCTCCGCAGATTCACCTCCACCTCCTGGAACTCGGCTGCCATGGAAACAGAACACAGGTTAGAAGTCGAAAGTCTATACGTCGAAACATATACATCTTATTCTTCCTTACACGGTACAGGGGCTGTCAAAGGTTTGGGAACACCCAAAGGTTAAAAGTCCTTTGGTCCATATTATGCTCTCTGTCTCTTTTCAGACACTTTTGTTTTTATTATTTGATATAATTCCCGTGCATATATCCACTTCAAACTTACATAACATTCTAACTTTGTACTAATAAATATTGTACTTTTACTCAATTACATTTCCAAGACAAAACATATTTTCACTCCTTACATTTTCATTTAGACCTTCACAGAAGTCAGAGAATCTCAAAATCTTAAAGACTAGGTCTTCATATAGTACCCATACTTTCACTTAAAGGGAAATTCCAATGGTTTTTTTCCATAATATGTTCTCTTAGTTTTCCTGAGTGCAAATCTGAAAACATTTTTAAAATGAGGTCAAAGTTTTTATTTATCATACAGTGACGAGAAACGTGTTTTCTGACATTTTTGTTTTTGTGATTTAAAATACTTCCAGCGCCTATATCTACTTCAAACTTACACACAAAATATATTTTGACTTTGTACTAATAAATATGACCAAATAGTATGTATTCATATGCATAAAAAAAGATGTTGATGATGTTTAAAGCGAAACTGATAAGGAAATAAAAGGTCAAACATCATATTAAAACATGTATACATGTAAATTTTAAAAATAGAAATAAATCAATTTCTACATATTCATGCAAGTAGCACTCATAATGAAGGTGAAGGAGATTCCTAAATTTCTCAGGGACAATACTGTTAAACAACACTCGAATGGATGAAGCAGAGCCCTAGACCTTAAGCCTCCCTGTCAGTAGAACTGTTTCGCTAATATACAATTGGAAAGTTCATGGAAGCACAACTATCAGGTGCGCCATGCAACATTTTCCTTACACTAACGATATGGAGGGTAAAGCAAACCCATCAGTCACCTGAAAAGAGTTGCAGGATGACCTGAAAGCTGCAGGAACTACAGTTGCATAGAGAACAATAAGCAATAAACTGGACCGCAATCATATCTCTTCCTTCCTACAACCCATGCAAAACTCCTCTGCTAAAGGAGCACAGAGATATGCATCTAAAATTTGCACCCAAGCACTTAGACAAATCGGAACTCTTTTGAAACAATGTACTCTGATCAGAATGAACAATACATAGAACTAATAAGTTCAGCTCATCATGTTTGGACAAAAAAGGTTCTGTATATGATCCTGAGAACACAGTGAAACATGACGGTGGGAGCATCATGACTTGGGGCTGCTTCTCTGCAAATGGTACTGAGGCATTAAGCTGATTTATGGTTCTGACTGTAGATAATGTTAGGCAATACATATAAATCATGTTTAAATAATAATAAAAAAAAAACAAAAACAAAAACCAACAAAGCAACAACATTTTTTTTAATTTTTTCATTTTCTCCCCACAATTTTTGAAATCCAACTCTTCAGTTTTCAGCACTCACCTTGATTCTTTTCCGTGTTATTTTTTCCCAAACATCCATAAATGTTTTTGGTAGGTTAAATTTTATTTTCTTATTCTCCAAACTGCTTATCTTTTAGCAGATGAGACTCACCTCCTCTGTCAGAACTTCAAGTTCTTTTAGAGAGATTTTTATTTTTGTTCTGCTAGTCTAAACATGCTCTAAATGGATCTGCACTATAAAGCCTCTTTTATTCAAACTAGCCAGTTTGCATGTATAAACAGTAGGTTATAGTAAATTCATCTGCGCTCACTAAATTTTAGCATGTGGGTATGTTCTTCAGTACATCTCTTTTAAATTTAAAAGAAAAATATGCTAAAATATAAGAAAGTGTATGCAAATGCATGTTCTCTCACTAGCTTAGGGAGGAGGGGGTTAAGAAAGTTTTGATGGGCTAAATCAAACATTCAGTGTAAGCTTAGTAAAAGCCAAACTTTGGGCAGCTCTGCTCTACATAAACCTGATTAGGCTTTATTATGGAACATTACTGAAGACCAACAAAGAATGATCATTTGTATTTAAAACATCTGGAAAAGCTAAGTATCTCTAAACCTTGCCAGGCACTGTAGACATATTTCAGCATTTTATTCCTGACAGACAGACACATCTTGGGTAGAAAAGCGAGTGTGTGTTTAAAAGCACTTGAAAAATGACATTCGGTACCAACAACCCACACAAGAACATACTGAACAAACTGAGTCACAGCTGATTCAAGCTTTTATCCACAAGGTTTATATCCAAAACGTGTTCAGCCAGCACTCCATAGAGAACAGCTTGTATTTGATGTCAACCATCATCACATGAGCTGATTTTTCAGATTTTTTAATTCCACAGATTTTTTTAAAAAACTGCAATTCAGTGATATTTGATACAGTAACTTTCGGTGAGGGAGCCTTTAGAGACATTAAACTTAGACATCTGCTTACTAATACCACCTCCACCGTGAACAGTTTGAAACAACTAAACAACTGAAACTAGTGCCTAGAGTGGGGTCCAAGAGACCACACTGAAAATCTGGCATTTTTTTTCATGGAAATAAACAACAGAAAGTTTGAGGATTTGGAAAAACGTAGAAAAGTTATGAAGAAATTCTGAAATCCTGAAATTCATAGAAATATTTAAAAAAATCTAACTTTTTACTCAAATTATTATGCCGATAATATCCTTTGTAAGGAAGAACTTAGAAATAACATTTATATATAATATTTATACACAGTCGAGTATGGCAGCATTATGGTCAGGGGAATGTTTTTGTGGTATTCTCTGGGCCCACTCATCCATGTAGAAGGCACTCTCAACCAATTTGGGTATGAATCCATGCTTGCAGATTACGTACACCCATACATGCTTAATGTCTTCCCATGGGCGGATGGGATCATCCAGGAAGACGATGCGACATGTCACCTGGCTAGAAATGTCATTGGTTGGAAGACCATGACCAAGACTTCCAAGTACTACCCTGGCCCCCTCATTCCGCAGACTTGAACCCAATTGAGCATCTGTGGGACCACCTCCATCGTTGTGTTTGCTCTATGGATCCCCCCCACCACCCTCCAGCAGCTGTGGGATGCACTGCAGTCAGCATGGCTCCAGATACCTGTGACAACCTGCCAGGATTGAGTCACTCCCAGCCCAGCTAGCTGCTGTCTGTGCTGCATGCGGCAGTTACTCTGGATATTAGCTGGTGGTCATAATAATAACTGGTCATAATAATAACTCTATTATATATTTATATATAAGCATTTTCGCTAGTGTTCTCAGACTTTGGAACCTGACTATATATATTAGTTCATTACAAAACAAAATGAAAACTGGAATAAACCTGAAATGCCTCCTTCCCTCAGTCATAAACAGAGTTTAGTGGAAGAGATTTTCAGGTTATGATTGTTATTGTTATTTTCTGCTGTTGGGAAATGTGTAGGTATATGTGTGTGATTTGCTCTGTCTGATGGTCACTCACCTGAGGGGTCAGCTGGATAACCGGGCCGAGGCAAGCCTGGCTCTGAAAGAGAGGCAGCAGGAAGAGCCCATAAATCACAGCTTTAACACACACACACACACACACACACACACACACACACACACACACACTCTCTCACATATGCATTTACATTTTGTCACTGTTGTAAAAAAAAAACATAGAAATGGTGACTTTATCAGTGAAAAAACTGCACAGTGAAGCTGTGCAAAATGAACATAGCCTCGAAAAAGTCTCAGATATAATGATACATAATGATATATGTGGTACTGTACATCCAGTATAAATATACTACCCTGCAAAGGTTAAAGACCACACTTCATTTATTTAATTTCCAGTCAAAACAGCCATTAAGTAAAAGTTTTTCATTTTTCAGCATCAGAGAAAATGCAGAAAAAAACATATTTAACAATTTCACAGAATAACACAGAATAACAACTAAATATAATAGATTTCAGTATTTAGTTTGTCCAATTTTTGCTTCTATTGAAGCTTCCGCTCTTTTTTAGAAGACTTGCTTCCAGTTTTTCAAAGAAATCTGCAGGGATATTTTTCCACACCTGCAAATTTCAGTCTTTGTTGCATTTTTACTTCTCACAATCCCAAAACACATCTACTGATCCTCAGTAATCCCAAACTCATTCAGTAATGCTGAAGTCTGGGCTCGGGGGTGGTCAGTCTGTTATGTTGAGCACATCTGCAGCTTCTTTGGTGATGATCTGCAATGCCCCTCCCCCTTTCTCAGTAACAGCTTCTTGACAGCTACACATCCTTTCAGATTTATTATGTTGAGTTGTCTTCTCACAGTGGAAGGATGGACAGAAACACCTGTGGATTATTTAGAATCTGAAGCAGAGTAGAGCTTGATTTTCTCCTCCCTCTCAAAGATGAGAGCTTTAAGTTCTGTTTATTGGATGGTCACAGTTGTAGGGATCTACACAGATCTTCCACAGCTGTAAGGAGTTTTATCATTTTTTGGAACTCCAGGATTGGAAACTCCTGTTCTTTCACTGCTTTTCCTTTGACTTCTCCCTTCCTTATGGAAGCTGATTATCTTACATCTAATCTCCTCAGAAATATCTTCTAAAAAATGTACTTGTACTTAATGGCTGTTTTATAAAACAGTGTAGCGGTACCAAACATGTTTGGTTTTTCAGGAACCAGGCCCGCTAATTCTTTTCATTTTAACACAAGACAGAATGAAAAGGGTTTGTATATGCATGTAGGAGTGAGAAAAAAAGAGATACACAGAAAATAAACAATAGTGCATTGAATTTGCTTCATGCAGCATTGCACATCATTTCCACATCAATAATATATATTACACCAGCACAGTTATGTACAACCAATGTACACAACAGAACTAAGGAAATTCAAACCACTGGTTTTTCAGACAGACAGAAAGAGAAAAGAATAACAGGACAGAGCACGGCTCTCATCACAGAACCAACTGTTTTTAGCTCCATTACTCTAAATACTGAACAACATGTTTCTGGTACACAGGAAGCGACAAATAAAAGCTTAAACACGCTGAGTCACAGCCGCTACAGGCCTTTATCCCAGACATTTCTGACACTTTATTTTTAATTCATGTCTGAAACGCATTCACCCAGCTCCTAATAAAGGACACCACATATCTGATCGCAACTGGAGTTCGGTACCGAATCTGAAATATTAACATTTGATTAGAGCACAGAATTTATGAGTCTGCCACTATTAGCTTTATTTACCAATGAACTAAAATACTGTGAACAACTGGTAAATGGAACACTGAACAGTCTGTACAAGTTAAAGTTATAGTCAGTAATAACAAAAGTGTGCTAGAACTTTATATTAGCCCCTTAAATGGCCAGGACCCACCAGCAGGGCCAAAGTTTAACTACACACTTCAATGGCCTGAGAATAATTCAGCCAGTTTGCATTGTTGTCCATGTAGTTACTGAAAAATAAGCCATAGTGTGGGATTTTAAAGGGGTTCATTTTTGCTAGAATTGCACTGAAACAAAATGAGAAATTCTGTGGAAAGTGTACATTTTGCCATGTTTTTGTCATTTTTTGATATTGAAACAAACGGCTAAAAGTCAGAAGTGCAGACTTGAACCCCTGGACACAGAATGTAAATCAAAAGTAATTCATTACGTAGCAAGCTAAGTAACTACTTATGCATTATTACATTTCAATAATTATGTAATGTAAAAATATAAATGCATAGCAAAACAAAAGTAGTACTTCTACACACTCAACGGTTGAGGCTATGTTTTTCATGGCTTTTGAAGCTAAAGTCTATGAAATTAAATATCAATGCTAACAAAATACTGCTTTCTTTTTTGAATTTCTTTAAATTATACTACCAGTATAGATTTAAAGGGGAATTCCACCAAATTTTTACAATATAAAAATACAAACTTCAGAGATTTTGATATGAAATAGTGCAATGGTGCAAACTCGCAGTCATAGCATATACAAGAGGACCTACAGATGTCTTCTGGAGTTTTATATGTAATGGTAATGATAATAAAATTTTGCTGTGCAAAAGGCAGGACTCTGGGGTGGTCAGTCCTAGTCCCAGTGCCAGAGCTTAATCATTAGTGGGGCATTCAAAAATCATGGAGGGGTGGGTCGGGGAAGCAGTCTATCCATGCAGCACAAAAAAAGGTAAGAAAATATGGGCTGAAAAATGCACAGTAAATCTGTCCAAACGAGCCACACATTCAAGAGGAAATCAACAGGACAGTCACACTCATAGCCGATTACCAAAGATCTAGCCATTTTAGAAAATCCGTCTGCTGATGCATCTTCCCTCTTGTGTTAGTCAGTAGTCTCTTATAAAAGCCATCACAGCACAAGGTTTACTTTCACTTTGTTTTTTGCCACGTGCCACTATAAAAGTGTATATGGCGTATAATGGGTTTAGTGCGGCATGAAGATTGGTTGGTGGGGCATTGTTCCATTAAATGACCTCCTGACACAGGGCCATTGTTCTGACAACACCAGAAGCTTCTTTGTTGAATTTGCAAAAGGTCTTCTTTTTCGTCTATTTCCTTTTCTCAGTAACGGCTTCTTGACAGCTGCACACCCTTTCAGATTCATAGTGTTGAGTTGTCTTCTCACAGTGGAAGGATGGACAGAAACACCTGTGGATTTTTTCAGATGTGATGCAAGAGTGAAGCTTGATTTTCTCCTCTCTCTCAGAGATGACAGCTTTAAGTACTGTTTATCTGATGGTGACAGCTTTGGTGGTTTACTAGGTCTTTTTGTTGGATTCCAGTTTTGGAAATAATGAAAGGCTGCTTTCTGACTTTTGCACAGTGCTGTATGCTTTAGTGTAAAATCTTCTCCAACATATTGTGAAATGATGTCTGATATCAGGCAGTGTAGTCATAAACAGTTCATGTAATAACCTTGTGCGAGGCAGCATTGAACTCTTCAGATAAATAATGTTGTTATTCATATTTATGGGCTTTTATACCATCAACAAAAGTGAACGATTCTGGTCTACAAGCAGCTGAAGGCCACAGTATGTCATAAGCAGTAAGCAATAACATTAAAAATAATGTTTTCCTGTGAAGTAAACTATACTTTTATACTTGCAGTAGGTTTAAAGAGCTTCTGAATGATGTGTAAGGTCAAGGCTGTGTGTATGGCTTATTCCCCTTTACTGTACTTGAGTACTTGTACATGTACAGAGTGTACTTGTATAAATAGTGTTTACAGAATTACAAATTACAGAAACATTCAGGCATTCAGCCAAGTCTCTAAACCTCTTTCAGATATTTCTATTGGTGAGCAGGTGCAAGATAGTTATGCTTTTCCATGAGGTAACTGACTCATAATCAAAGTAAAGAATAAAAGACACAAAGTCAGTGTGAATGGGAAATTATAATGCATTCTCCGTCCATACCGTGACGTATTTGCAAGTGAAACACGATATCAGGGAGCTTGCTGAGTGGTTTCTCTCAGTGATAAGGATACCCTAATAGTGGTTTCAGTATTTGAATTCTGGCATTTCGAACGGTTAACCGAATACTCAAGTGCCTGTGCACATCACGTTGTGTTTTTTTTTGAACGTGGAAAAACGTGAGGTGCACTGCACGGCCTTTTTTCTTGGAGGTTCACACTGCATTTTGTGACCTGTTCTCCCTCTTGATAAGCAACAGTAGTGTCTGAACCTTCAATTAGCTGTGCTCTCTGGCTCCTGTCTTGATATGTACAGGCTTAAAACTCTGGCGCTGCTCTTGTAGAAAGTGATATACTATTAAATAGTAAGTGTGGTGCTGCTAGCAGAAAGAAGCTGAACTAAACTGCTTTTTTGTTTACATCAGGATTTAGTGAATTTAGTCAAATCATACAGTTGAGGCTAACTAGCTACTGCAATCTCCCTCCACTACAGCTAAAGGCCCACCTTCCTTTTAATCTGATTGGTCAGCACAGAAAATTGCTAATGACAGAGGTTACCTGACCACTTCAACTTTCTCCCACTCTGGCTCATCACAAATGCCAGCCAACAATAACAAATAGCAAAACTCTCCTATTGAAAACTACTACAAAAAGCATCTCGCTCCACAAACATGAAATAAGCCACTAATAAATAATCTTAATAAACTAAAGAAATTAACCTTAAAACTAGTAAATAACATGAATTTTGGCAATGTTGAACTGTAAGAATCAAATTTAAAGCGAAGAGACCCAAAGCTACATCACAAATGAACTTGTCTTTGCACACAAAACTGGCGATGATGAAGATTTCAGATCACAGACTTCAGAGCGAATAAATTTTGTGTGCAAAACTTTGTGTCAAGTTCAACATTGAACTTTGGCACACAAATTCACACCATCAATCACCTGCATGTTTCCCTGTTGCTAAGCAACAATAGTGTCGTAACTGACAATCAGCTATGCTAGCTGGCTATCATTTTGATATGTGTTAATTCACACTTAAAATACAAATATAAATCACTGAATCAACCCAGCCATCAACTACAGATTACCTCTTAGGCTTGCAGCACACCACAGATGAATGTAAAGGACTGTGTTTTCATTTCATAATCATACATTACAAAACATTATATCTTGTCAAGTGAAATAATCCTAAATCTAGTCAATATATCTAGTTAATATTTCTCATTGTGAGATTTTCTAAGAAGATCGGATTAATTTTATCTAGTTAAATTTTCTTCCGTTAAGCACCATTTCTTGCAACAAGCAAAATGATCAGCCAATGGAATAAGATAATAAGAAGTAAATACCTAGAAATGAATTACATCTTGTTCTCATAATAAGCCATGTTAGATATACTGACTAGATTTAAGATGATTTCACTTGCAAAGATTATTATTTTTACAGTGTAACATTATAAAATATTTCCTCAGTAAGATATTCAAAAACTTCATTTCAAAATGATTTTTGAATTGCAAAAATTATTTAAATTTTTCATTGAGAATTTTAAACAGCATTCTTTTAAAATGAGAAAACAGAAGAGAAAAATGGTTAAAACACCCATTCCTAGCCATGACCCCAGCAGGTCTCAGTGTTTGGGGGACATTTACTTACGCCTACTCTCATACATAGCCCTGGACTTGGAGTACAGGTCATAGGGGTCAGGTTTGCTGAGGTCAAAGCCCTGGGGGGGCTCTGTAGCTGAGGGCCAGTGCAGGTAGGGGGCGCTGTGGGGGAGGGCAGGAGCAGAAAGACTGCTCTGGGGGTCCCAGTGGTCCAAAACCTGTAAATACAGTGTCAGACAGATCAACACCCCACCCACAGGGACCATCCTGGAACATGCTCCTATGTGTATCTACAGAAAGGTTTGGTGAAAAATCAAATAGGCACAATTTTTCCATTAACCCAAATGTAGTCAACCAGCCAAGACATGTTTAGTATCTGAAGTTCACCTCTTTTTCTTTTGCACTGCAGCTACAAAGCTAACAAATAATGGAAGCTTATACCCCATCAATTAGCATGGTGCTAACTGCATGCCTAAATCATCACTTGTGTCAAGCAGTGGCCAGTTGTTAAAAAGGCACTGTAGCCAAAATGAGAAATGTTGCCATTGATACAGCCTAATTGGCTCCTAGAGAGGTGTCACACCTGTCTGGGTGAGATTTTGCAGTTTAAAAACTAGGAAAATCTCCTTCTGATGCATTTTGAAGGTCATATGAGTAAGAGGGTGGGCTTTTTTCTTTTTTTCCGCTAGCTGACTAATGCAGCAGTTATCAAGATAGCCAGCATTACTGCTAGCAGCCAGAATATCATGTCTGTATTTATTAGCTTCTACATCAGTGGTACATCAGTATCACTGTGGGGGGCTTCCCAGTGGCTGTATGACGTATTTTCGGATGCTGGGTATTGTAGGGTGAGACCATTAATGGATGAAAACACAACAAGGATATAAAATCGTGAATTTTATCAAACCAATGATGCTAAGAGTTGCAATTCTGCGCTGCAGAATATTACATAACATAACAAATAACCAGAGGGACGTTCTAGGCCTTCAGATTTCTGTGAAGCCAAAAAATACATGTCTGTAATTAGTAGTTTATTTTTATTCACATATTTACAAGTATTGTCATAATACACCTTTTGATTTTTTCATTGTTTAATATTGGTTGGAAACAAAAGGTAGAAATTCATGAACTACTCAACAGAAAATTATCTAATCAGAAGATTTTTTTTCTGTGGTCCTTAGGTAGATACAGCCAAGGCAAGCTCTCCCATTGGTTAGGACTTTAGGAGCTGGACTGAAGGGCTTGTGCATTAGATTAACTACCAGCATAATTAGGGAGTGCCAGTGGAATTTCTAGAACCAACAAATGTCACTCTAGGCCTTCTGGAAGTCCTAGATAAGTCTCTAACTATGAGTGGCAGCCCAACCAGTGTATTTCAATCAGCTAGAAATGGAAAACAGCTCCTTACTGAAAGGGTCACTATAAAACTTCCATACAAAGTAAAATATGTCAATGTCTGTTACAAGCTTCAACTAAAACAGGTAATGTCTTTAATAAGCTTCCATTTTTAATCTGGAATGTGCAAAAAATATTCACAGGAATTGCTGTTAGCTTAGCGTTAACATACTAGTAGAATCTCATAGTTTGGTCATTTATAGCCCAAACTGAAGGCCTAGCTCTAAAAGCTAGGCTTGCCACTGCAATTAACACATTAAATGCTAGTTTCAGGCCAGAATGTATCTTCCAGTAAATCTCTAAGAGTCTTGCTTATGTGGTTTCTGACACTGACTATGACATACTGTTAACAGTAGATAGATAACAGTATGTCATACAGTGTCAGTTTGAGGCTGATGATTTTGGTATGCAGTTAACACCATGCTAATCGGTGGCTTTAAGCTTCCTTGTTAGCTAAGTTAGTCTCAATGCTTTAATGCAAAACTAACCAAACAAACTTCAGACACCAAACATGTCTTAGCTAATCGACTACATCTGAGATAAAGGGGGGAAATGGGGTTTGATTTTTGGCCAGACTATTCCCTAAGGTTCTAAAATCACTCAGTAATTAGCCTTTGCTTATGTGTACACAGCAGTCATTTTGCTGTGCTATTAGCAATTTCGAATGCTAGAATGCTTCTTGCTATGAGCCCATGAAGGACGAGGTCAGCAGTAATTTTCTAAACTGGTTTAAACACTTGAGTAAACAACACTTGCACTTTGTGCTATTTCACATAAACTGCTTCTGAAAGACCTCCCCCTCCAAATAAATAAATAAATAAATAAATAAACAAACATCTAAAGAATGGTTTTGGCAATGATGCAGAGAGAACAGTGCACACACAGAATTGTAAGCAGGTGCAGAAGCTGCAGAAGCTGGTCTTCCACCGACTTTGCCTAATAACATTCGGAGCGCAGCGGAAGCCGGAGCAACGGAGGGATAATTAAAGGAGGCAGGAGGGAAGAAAGAACGGAGCGGAGATGAAAAAGATGCCAGGTCTTATCAGAGCGGGTCACTGTTAGCGTGTTAATCTGACAGGGTGGCAGTGCGCGATGCAAAACGGCTCAGGAAAGGAGCAGATTAAAAAATGTCAGTGTGTCTTCGTCACTGCAAGGCAATCACCAAACATCACAGAGATCCTCACACACACACATTCATACACACATACGGTCAGTTACTACTGACAGGACAGTTTTTGAAGCAAATGTGATAACAGAGAGTCTTTCCAGGAGCACTGATTCTCAGAGGTGGGTGGCAACTAGTGCCTTTTACTCAGTTATGATGGATTTGTACCTTTCTGAGTGTTTTCAAATGATACCTTTACTTCCACTCAAGTATATTAGTGAGTGAAGGAATCTACTTTCTACTCAGTTGCATTTTAGTCATTAGCATTTCATTCCTTTGTGGGCTTAATTTCACTCTGCTGTGCTGGTTCAGCACCTGTACTGCTCCACTGCTGCTCGTACAGAGATGTGGGAAGGTGTTAGAAATTGGAGCTGCTGAAATTTAAAGCAGCATCTATGTGACATGATGTGCAAAATGATTTGCCTTTTTTATTTGATTTTTTTTTGATATTTTACATCAGACACAGCGCGTCATAATATGAGATAATGTGGCGAGAGATGACAACACGGCATATGAAAAGTGACACATCAAACAGCTGATGCCCACCCTGCTCACTACACTCTCCCTCCTTCAGGAAGAACTGTGTCACTCTTATAGTCACGTGCAGAGATTCAGCACTCTAACACACACTGAGTTGGATATATAATGGTTGATAAAAAAAAGAACAAATAAATAAACGTATCCAAAATATTTTTAAGACATTATTATGTGTAAAAACAATATTAGGCTGAAATCTTATCTGTTTAGCCACCATGACAACTTCTGTTAGGACTGACTTTGGAACAGTAGCTATTACAGAACAAGAGTTCTTAAGTTTGTCGTCTTATTCTAACTTCAGATAAGACAAGAGCACAGTCCTAACTTCAGGACAACCCCAGTGGTGTCCTAACTTCAGTTTTAACCATCCATTTCTACTGTTTTTAGGTAACTGTGACAGGAAGCATAGTTCAGTATAACTTTAACTAGTATAATGATGTTATATTTATCGATTGTGAGATCCCAGACACTGCAGACACTGATCTTCACCATCTCCTCTTATTACCTTTTTGTGTTAAAGTTCATGAAAACTCAAATGAAGTGTTACAGTGATGGTGGTGAATAATTAGACAGAGTTGAATGTGTGGTTGTTTAAAAGAAAGAACAACATATCATGGCTCGGAGGCCAGCTAAAGTTCTGGGAAATGGAAAATGAAAGGAGCGTCAACACTCTGACAAACAGCAGGGGACGCTCTCACAATATTCTTAACCTCCTCTGTTGATTCTGTTTTGGTGGACTTTTGAACAAATGAAGGGGATGCTCCTCCCACAAAGGTATCCTTTTATAGCAACTGTTGCCAAGATGGATACATTTAGCAAAGTATCCTAGTGAACTGAGGATAGAGTTTAGATTTGCTACAAATCACTGAGTTTTTTAGTTTAAAATGCTGCGCTACTGAGGCCAAACTGTGTTGTTGTAGCTACTCGAAACTGAGCAAACTGGACAAAAAATCTGTCACTATGCTAACATCAGCTTGATTACAGAGCAAATAAATGAACCTGATCTATCCTACATACGAAATAAACATCTGAAATGAAAAACAGTTGCAGTGTAAGTATTTTGACTGAAAGTATTATAGTGTGTCGTTAGGATGAATGTGATTTTTACCAGATTTCTGTAAAGCTTGTCAACCTAGCAACAGTAGGCATGAATGACGGTATGCAACACAGGGACTTAATGACACATGCATAAGCACTGAATCATGTAAAGAAAGCAACACTTAAGTATTATAAACAGCTTTGTGAGTATAAGAAAAGTTGGCATATGCTGTGTTTTTGAAATAAATAATACTGTATTGCTATTAGGGCATTTATAACACTGTTATGAAGCATCATTCCTGAGTAATGGAACTACTTTAACTCCAGTAGAAATACATAGACCTGAGAAACTTATGACGTCCATCTTATAAATTTGTAGACTCTTATGTCAATAAAACATCGGAATATCATATTTCATCTCGCAAACTGCTATGAAGCATCGTTTACAAGTAATGGAACTACTTTAGGTTAAGCTGAAACATATAGACCTGATACACTGTACAGTGTTCTTCTGCCTTGCTTTTTAATAGTGTTATGAATAGAACAAATGTCCTTCACATATAAAGGCCTTTATGGCAACACAATGTAATTTACACAGTATGTTATCTTGCAAATAGTGACATAACCTGTTTATGAATACACAAGTATTGCTCTATTAATTTATTCTATAGTGCTTACATATGTTTTATGAAGGCCCTACATAGGCAGCCTTTAAATAAAGTGTTACTTACTATTACTATATACAGCATGTTTTCTTATACACTACACATGTATTTATGTATGCATGCTGTCAGTCAAAAGTTTGAGTACATATGCTAAAAACCGGTAATTCATAATGATTTACATTGTAGAAGCTTATTCAGTAACATTTAAAGAAAAATATTAATAAGTTCAAATCATTTATATGGTTTAAAGCATAGATAGTCATATTAAATCTAGCTTCAGGCATGTTCACTCAGACATTATACCCATATGCATACTATACGTATGCTTATGCAGTGCATACACACAGTTATGCTGCTTTGCATGGCTTAATTCCAGCACAGCACAGTCAGTTTTTAATCCATAGCTAACAGCTAATCATTCCGAGTATTAATCTTCTATAATGTGACTGTGAGACTCCCCACGTAATTTTCACTGGTGAAAGGAAATGGGCTGTTTTCATATCCATCTGTGAATTGTCCTCCATATATTAGGCTGAATATTAAAACTCAGCTTGATATGAGTCTCTGGGCCTTTACTTCACTTCCTTTAACAACTTTTGTACCCGTTATTTGATTAATAAAGGAAAAGAAGAGGGGAAAAATGTTTCTGCTGTTGCTTTGGGCTGGGGGAAATTCTCTTGAGGCAAATGATCTTCAATTACACCTTAGCCAAGAACTGATAGCAATTAAAAGAAGAAAAACGGAGGAACTAAAGAGGGATAAGGACAAAGGAAGAAAACAGAGATGAAAAAGTACAGAGAAACTGTACTTAAGTTAAAGTATTATTGCTGTGTGTTTTTACATCAGGCACGTGTCAATATAAAAACATAATATCATAATAATTACCCAACCTTTTATCACAGTTTATGATATTTTTACAATGATATTGTTTTACGAAAAAATACCACATGTATAGCATAATATATTTACATGCATGTTCTAAATATCATTTTCAAAAGCAATAATGTATTGTGGTTATACAGTACTGTGTAAAACACAGAGACCCCCTTCATTTATTTCATTTCTAGTCAAAACAGCCTTTAAGTACAAGTGATTCATTTTTCAGCATCAAAGAAAAAGCAGAAAACATATATTTAACAGAATATGACACAGTAGTCTCTTCTAATCTTCAGGGATATTTTTCCACACCCCTAATGTTCAGTCCAACTAGTTGGTTGTATTTTTTGCTTCTCACAATCCACGTGTTCCAAACACATACAGTGATGTTGAGGACTGGACTCTAGGGTGGTCAGTCCATGAGAACACCTGCAGCTTCTTTGTTTGATTTGTGAATGTTCTTCTTTTCTGTTTATTATCTTTTCTCAGTAATGACTTCTTGACAGCTACATATCCTTTCCAACTCACAGTGGAAGGATGGACAGAAACATTTAAGGATTGTTTCAGATCTGAAGTGAGAGTGGAGCTTGATTTTCTCCTCTCTCTCAAAGATGAAAGCTTTAAGTAATGTTTATCTGATGCTCACAGTTTTGGTGGTCTACCGTGTCTTGCATGGTTGTTAGGGGTCCCAATTCTCTCTGTATTTTTTAATCATTTTTTGATCTCCAGTTTTGAAAACTCCTGCTTTTTCACTAATTTTCCTTATGCGAGTGGATTATCTCATATCTGATCTCCTCAGAAATAATTCCTGAAAAAATGAATTACTTGTACTTAATGGCTGTTTTGACTGGAAAGTGTAGTCTCTGACTTTTGCACAGCACTGTGGTTTGTGAGAATTTCTCTATTTACCCCAATATCTATTTACCTGATAAATATGTAAATATTGGGTCTGTCAAAGTTACAGCCAAAAATGTTTAAAAACATTTTTCTATTCTGACTCTCCAAACCATCCAGCTTCAGTGCAGTCACTGCAATTAAGCTGAAGTTAACTTCGTCTTCACTAGCTTCTTATTCTCATTTTCAGTTCCACCTTAAATGGCACAACTGATGCACCATTTAATGTGAAACGGTAAATTCAAATAAAAATCTGGCAAACTGATCAACAAACTTCAGCCTTGATGTGTAACTGATGTGATAAATGTGTTTGTAACTAATGCAAGAATGAATCTGGCCAATGTTCCAAACACTGTTAGCATTTACTAAAGTAAAGCACTGGGGCTAGGCGGCTATTACAGGCAAGAAATCTTGTTTCTCTCCTGTCTTGGCATGCTGTGGAAACATGTATCATCATCAGGTAATCACATAACCTGTAATCAGCATAAACATTGTGTGATGATAGCAATTAGCCCGCCAGGAAAGCTTTGGCCAAACTTAAGTACAGCACTAAATTATAGCACTAATGCCATGAAGCTTCATCAGTTTCTGGTAAACCTAGATTCCCAAAATGTGTTGTAATGATATTAGTTTAAAACTACATAGCTTCTATAATGCAGATGTTTCGTTTGGACACATCTTTACTGCCATCTGCAACAAATAAAAGCTATGTACTTCACAGTCTCAATTTAACCTAAATTTCCCCCACGTACACCAAAGGATCGCTGATTAATTTATCCAATAACTTATTTTAAACACTTACACCATTTCATGTAAATATTTTACATAGTTTTTTACTTAATTTTCAAGGTGCTCTTATCTATAGTGATGGTTTTATCTACTATGCTTCACATGAGTGAATTGTAAAGAACTGAAATGCACAGCACTGGCAACTGCTGATATATCATGCACCACTTAATTATTGGATTATCTGACAGTGCACTGTCTAGTGGGCAGGATGAAAGAACACCTTGGGAAATAGCTATAGACAAGCATATAAGAAGTTTGGGGAGTTTTATAGTGTTAGGGGAGTTTTGGGTCTAGATGGAAGAATATTTCAGGGTAAACAGAATAAACTTAGACAGGAGTGGTATAAATCATATGTTAATGCATGAGAAAAGTGCAGATAAATCTGGAATCCTATACAGCATGTTTGTTAGCTTAGAAATGTTATTGAATGGGTTAGTGAGAGTTCATAGATATAGCACTACCAGAACAACTGGGTCTAATTCAATGGCTAATGATCACAACAGCACTAAAAGAATGTAATTATGCCTTCAAAGTCTGATTCAATGCATATTGAATAAAAGAGTTTCACTTTTTAATCAGGTTGTTTTATGTAGTAATGCTATATCTGTCATGAACAGCAATCAATATCTTCATTTCGAAAAAGAAAAGAGGGTACTTCAGAAAAAAGGCACTGCAGCCACTGTGTAATTACTTGAGTAATTACTTAAAGCAGGTGTTGATTAGCCTCTGCATCCATGGTTAGTAATGAAATAAGCTTGTATTTTCAAAAAGTTACAAAAGTGGTTAATTACTGACGTAAAAACATTGGTAAATTAGGAGCGCTTATGGTTGGGTTATGATTCATTTTACCTGCTTAGGGCTCTTCCAAGGTGAAAAGTGACCTGCAATGGTAAGAGAACAAAGGCATTTAGCCTAAACATGTCAGTGTAAAGTAACTACAGTGGTGCCCACTACACTAGACTGGGCAAAAGGTGGGGTGCCAAGATTGTTTCAAGCAAATAAAACAAAGGAAAGCACAGGAGCAACTCATACTGCCAATAGCGATGCAAATCAGGTAGACCGTTTGGGCAGAGTAATAAGTAATGAGTGCTTTCCAATTTAGTTAAAAATAAAAATAATAACAATAACTCTCCACCAAACACCAGCATTTCGAACAAAAAACATCATTCTCCATCAAATACCAGCAGTCTCCAAAAAACCATCATTCTCCACCAAGTACCATCATCTATTTATAACAGCCTGATTAAAACATCTGGTCCAGGCCAATATTTGTCAGACTGTTTAAAAGAGATGTGACCATGTAAATGCTTAATTTGCTCCACTGACCTGCATATGGAGTTGCATTATGGTAATACACCATATAAAATGACAGCTTTTTGACACCAAAACAAACACAGTGACAAAAGGCAAAAGGGGCTGCAGTTCTGCTCAGAGAAAGAGGCATCCTTCATGTCAAACATTTTGGGAGAAGTAGACACCATTATAAATTTAAACAGAAGGAAAATAAACTGTGGGAAACATGGATAAACCTGTGTCATGGAGGGGCCGTGTCACGTTATAAGGTCAGATTATGCTGGCATGTGTGTAAACCGAACCATCAAAGGAGGCACATAATAAAACTGTTTAGCTCAACTGAAGGTTAGAATAAATAGCCAAAACTATGAAGAAATTTTTGTTAGTTTTCTATTTTTAGGCCCACCTCATTAGTGCTTGGTTAGTGCTCCCGCTTAGAAAATGCAGTAGCTAGCAAGAAAACAAGGAGCTACCAAAAAAATAAATAAAAAAAAAACAACACTGGGGCTCCTGAAGGGCCCAACCATGTTTGCATTGGTAGATTACAAGTTTGATCAGTGGCGATGCCAGAACCATTTGTGGCTGGGAGTTCAAAAGAGCATAAGTGTCCTTGCTCTCTCTGTCAAAATCAACAATACATGAAAAACGACTTATATAAAGATTATTTAACTAATTTGAATAATTCCGTACCACTTTGAGTTGCATTGGCAATATTTGGTGCCTCAGGGGCACTTTCACGTCTTTGTGAATATATACAAGCTGAAGGTAAATCGGTGAAAGGACATTAAAATCCAATGAACGGAGCGGCTCGTAAAACTGCTATGAGCACATAATCACATTGCTCATTCAGAAAGAGGCTTTACTGCAGCAGCCAAAGAGCGGCTAAGCTGAAGGAGAAGCTTCTGAAGTGTAATCACAAAACACACAGAGACACTAGCGCTGAAGAGCACTCCGCCTGTGCTAAAAGCTAAACAATAACAGCTAACATCAAACGAGGGAATTCATGAATATGTGCCCCCTATCTGTTTCAGAATTTGGCCTTGAAAGTCTGTCACGCATACACACACACACACACGCACACATACACACACACACACACACACACGCACACATACACACACACACACACACACACACGCACACATACACACACACACACACACACACACAAACACGCAACCAGCACCATGTGTTCCTGCGTCTTCCTCTCCATCTTTCGTGTCTTGCCACAGTCGCCCTCCAGGACTAAACAAGGCTATGCAAATCGACTAGATGGAATTAGTGAGTTCCTCAGCGAATTGTACACAGACACACACACATACAGTGCAGTCCAAAAGTCTGAGACTGCAAAAAGACTGGGGTTTGAAAATCTTCAACACCTACATTCTCCATCAAACACCATCAATCTCGATTAAACATAATCATTCTCCAACAAACATCAACATTCTCCAACAGACACCATCATTCTCCACAGAACACTATCATTCTCCAACAAACACCATCATTCTCCAACAGACACCATCATCCTCCACAAAACACCATCATTCTCCACAGAACACTATCATTCTCCAACAGACATCACTCTCCAAAGAACACCATCATTCTCCAACAGACACCATCATCCTCCACAAAACACCCTCATTCTCCAACTTAATTATTCTCCAAAAAACAACACTGTCATTCTACAGAAAACACCATCATTCCCCAAAAAAACACCAACACGCTCCATCAAACACCAACATTCCTCACCAAACATCACGATTCTGTTTTGACAGTTCGCTTAATAATGTCCACAAAAAGAACTAACAAGGCAAAATAAGCAGTGTGAAGGGGAAAACATTATAGATTTTTAAAAATAACCACAGTAGGGTCCAACAACACATAATAAACAATAAAAATTTTTAGATTTTTGAAAAAATTCAAACAAGAACAAATGAAAAAAAAAAGTCTAATGAAGAAGAATTATTCACCATTCTACACTATTTCTAAGTTACTACTTAAATGTATGCAAATTTCAGACTTTGACCGTGTCAAAGCCTTTGTACAGATTGTTTTTGAATCTTATCCGTTTAAATGAAGCAAATGAATCTCACACATAATATCACTGATAAATACTGATACTGAAACCTTGAGTTTCGGCCGATAGTGATACTGATACCAATATTGAAACCTTGAGTACTGGACGAATCTGAGGTGATATTTCTTCTTTAAAAACTGCTATGCTTTCGAAATGAGCTATTTATAATTGAAACACTTCACTTAAGATGATCTCCTAAAGGTAGACTATCATTCTGAAACAACTTAAACACTCTACTACCCCACAAGAAATAAAATAGATAACAACATCACATCACACAGTAGGAGTGTATGCTATTTCAGGACAGATTTGTTACAGGACTGGATCAGAGTCATTCTTTTTTCCCCCCTCAGATAGTCCATCCAGCATCTTCTACTCATACCAGTCTAATACTCATACTGGGTATTGGAATGGAGGCAACTCTATAATGCACAGAAAATGAACCAATCATCAAAACTAGGAGCCTTAATGAGTGGCAGAGAAACACAAAGGGGAACATAAAGAGCAGCCCAAGAGCTGAACGACAATGAGTCATCACACATAAAGAAAGAAAAAACAACCAATCATGCTTTAACTGCTCCGCTGAGCCTCACTACTGTCTCATATGGCAAAATCAGGCCCGGCTCAGATAGCAGAGTTGAGGCTTTCAAAGGAATATTACAATGTTTTTCAATCTAACCTCCATCTGCTGAATTTAGTGTATGGTCGATTAGCACAGACAATAATTTCAACACGTTTTCCTGCACTTCGAAAAGAACAGAACTCCTCATTGCTCAAAACACACTTACAATAGAAACCAATGGGCAGTTGCACATCTGCTCACTGGCTTCTATTATAAATGTGTTTCAGTAAATGTTTTTTTTCTCTCACTCAAATTAAAAATGGGGATGTTATCAATGTGTGCTTATGTGATGCGAAATGCCACTGATTTTTCAAAATTGCAACATAATTCATTTCTTGAGATGTACACAAAGTCATTCAGAGTGGTTCAATAAGAAATGGTTCATTGTAGATAAATTTACTGACTCTTTACTGACTCTTACTGATTTCTTTACAGTGGTGTTGATGTCACAAATATACACAAACAACATAAATATATTTTATTTACTATCCAAAATTATGAGTAAACCTATTGACGATGGTTAAATAGTGGAAATCTTGAAAAAAGTTTGCTTTGAGGACTGTTTTGCCTTAGCATGAACTGTATGTACCTCTCTGGATGTTTAAAATGTTTTAGGTGGAGAGCTTCTCAAAACTATCATAGAACAATGTTAGACTTCAGGCAATGTAGTAATAACCATGGCATGTAACAGCTGTCTGTGAGAACTTTCAGAGGCATTAAACTCTTCAGACTTCTGGCTCCTATCACCACCACTGTGAACAATTCTGACTTGGTAACGGAGCATTTCACATCAAAATACTCTGACTCTGACCACTGGATCATGGTCATATCTTAGCCATGTAATTATGCAGGCATTTAAGAAAACATTCCCTTTAAGGAGATTTTGAAGCCAAGATACCACAAACTGACACATTTGAAAAGATATGACCTGGTTTAAACACTTTTTGGCTATACCTTTGATTTTCAGTACATAGTTATTTATTTGTAAATTTTGCTGTCGGGACAAAGCCTCATATCTCAAAAATGGTAAGATAATATTTCATTCAAAGTAATCTTAGAGCTATTCGTCCATTCATCATGAAATTTTCACACAAAGTAAAGAGCTGGCATTTTCAAATTATGTAAAACATTTAAAAATTGACAAAAAATAAGTTACAAGTTTTTGTCCCGACAGCTACATCATGTAATGTGAATTAGCCTTCCATTCGATTTATATTCCATATTGGTTTGAGGCTGCACTTCTGACCTCATTTGTTTTGATGTGAAGAAATGACTAAAAACTTGGCAAAATTGCAAATAATTTGTGTCTTTCCACAAAAAAAGACACAGCAATAACTTTTCATCAAATTCAAATCATAACAAAATATCTCCTTTTCTACTTGCACGCAACACCAGTGTGGTAGAGTTCAGAATCTGCACTTTCCACATGATTTCTCCACTTGTTTAAATGAAATACGAGCAAAAAAGAATTCATTTAGAATATCAGCTTGACTTCGTTAACACAAGTGATAATTTTGATTTTCAATGGTTAAAGAGGGAAGGATGGTGAGGGACACTAGAGAGTGTTATTCAGTATTCAGTGTATCTGAAATAAAGTTCACTTCAGTGGTTGAATCTGTGGTGTTCTTTGGTTTTGATGAATTATGACTATTTTACAGACATATTCTGTCAAATGATATTTATTTCAGTGTGCAGACTGGCTAGAACCAAAAACTCTTTCTCTCTTGCTCTCTCTCGCTCCCTCACTTTCTCGTTTCTCTCCATCTCTGTTCTCTCTCTCTCTTTCTCTGTCACTCCATTCCTCCTCTCTCTCTCTCCCGCTTTCTCTATGTCTTCGTCTCTCCTTCTTTATTCTCTCTCTCTTTAACTTCTCCCCTGTGTTCTCTCTT